AGCTTGGCTGAGCCTGGCCCCCAGGCCCAGATCCAAAACAGCATACGAGCATGTCTTTAACCTCAGCCATGTGCTAACGCCCTGTTCTTTAATTGGGCCTTACTGGGCGGATCCGGGGAAGTGCCAGGGTGCCTGGCTCGGCACCAGCCTGCTCCTAACCAGGTGCTCGAGGCCGTGGCTGCTTTGGGAGCCCAGAGCTCAGCCCACGGTAGGCTGGGGTGCAGCGAGATAATATAACGGTGTTACAGCACCTCAGCTCCAGAGGAGGTTAACAGTGGGTGCTGTGTTTTTTACTCTACCTCTTGGCTGCTTTATTCTGGATATAAAACCGCAGCCAGCGATTCAAACCTCCGTAACACTGCGAGAACACAGCACTAGCGTTGTCCTGCAGTTACCGACCATGCTGCAATGGGTTGGCTTGAGCATTTATGTAAAAATGCAGATATATCTAATGGAAATGGTGGTTCCACTGCAAAATGAATTATTCTCATTCTAGAGTTAGGTGAGAAAATGGGATTAAGAAAATGCAGCATTATTCTCTCTGCTCACTTTCTGTTCTCCCTAGCAGCCCCGTAAGTGGGATTAAGTCAGCACCGTCATTTCTGGGACCAATGTAGTCTTTTGGTTTGTAAGAATTTCTTAGAGGGAAGCAAAAATCCACGTATCTAAAGAGCTACTGAGTGAAAAAAAAGGACACTGGAAACCTGCTTTTAAACCATATAAACCAATAGTTTTCAACCTCTTTCAATTTGTGGATCTTCATACATTTCCTACTGAAGAGGCAGACTCATGCAGCAAGTTTAAGGCTGTGACCTTGCTTCCTCTGAGTTACCTTTCACAGAGACCTGAGGGGTAATCTCCTGACCCCTGGGCTAAGGCTGTGGTTTGAAACTACAGCTGTTTTACTTTAAAAGGTCTAAAATGTGCTTCTCAAGTCCCAGCAAAAGAAGGGACACGTCCTAGCGAGGCTCCCGGCAGGTATCTCTCCGCTCCATGCAGGATGCTGCAGGGCTGCTCTCGGCACCAGCGGGGCTGGACCAAAGGAAAAAGCCTCAACAGGGCCAGGGGCACGGCAAGGCACAGCGCCAAGCTACAGAAATCAGTATGATTTTTGCCGTGGACTCCGGCAGGCTGCGAATTCCCCATCCGGACCTGCAGACACCGCTTTTTCCTTCCCGAGGGTGCCGGGGGCTGTCAGCAGCCAAACTGGGGGGTCCCACAGGCACAGGGGCTCCGGGGGTGAACCCCCGCCTCTGTGCACCCCGAGCAGGGCTGGTGAGGAGCGGAGCTGGGTGGGGGCAGCAGCATGTTTTTCCAGGACACTTCTCATTACAGTGATATGTTTGCTTTGAAACTGAGCCTCAAAACATTTCAACTTTTAAGGCCCCCACCCCATGTTTTCTTGTTCCAACTTTTGAGCTTTTTTCCTTAAGATAAATTCAGCTTTCAGAAAATAAAATCTGAACTGAAAGGAAGCTCAGCGTGCAATATGAATGTTTTCTTTTTAACAAAAAAAAAACCACCTGAAACTCTTACTGACATTTTTGGGGTCTGTCTTTCTTTCCTCACTGAGACTACTTAAGATAAATTTTCCATACAGAAAAAAATATTCTTCATGTTAAAATATTTGCATTTTTTTTTTTTTAAATCTAAACAGGATTAAAAGCTGGCTAAAGAAAAGCACTTTTAGAAAAAAACTAGTAAAATAAAATAAAATAAAATTTATCCTGACCGGAAATGTCCTGAAGATTATAAATTTACCGCTTTGGATGGCAAAACCAGAGCTGAGCAGTAAAACAAGTGGAAATGAGCAATCATTGACATATATTTTCATATAGCTTAAGAATTATTTTTGCAGCTAATGACTTTAAAAAGAAATATTTCAAAACTATTTAGAAAGTCTTTAAAAGAATACTTTTTAAAACCCAAGTTAAATATTTCATGACAGTTCTAGAATGCTTTTAATTGCACTGTTCAATGTAAAAGTCTTAATTCAAACATTTATATAGAAAAATTAGAAAACAATTGCTTTAATTCTAACCATTTGTGTAAAAATTATTATCTAACTGTCAAAACAGTTGATAAAACTAGAGATTTGAAGGGAAATTTGTGAAATGTTTGTTATCTTTGGCATAACAGGAGTGATTAGAACCACTGCGCTAAACAAATTGAATTTTCATCAAACAAACTTGTTGTTACATGCTCAAGTGAATGAACTGTGGTTGTTTAGTCTGGATGGGAGAGAAGTGTGGGGGAGAAGACACGATAGTCGTCTTTAAACATATAAAACACAGCTGTGAAAAGACAGGGGTAATGTGTTTTCAGTGTCCATGGTGGATAAGTGAAGAAGCAAGCAAGACCCAGGCTAGAGATGAGGAGTTAGGGCAGCAAAACATGGAGAGAATTAACTTAAGACCACCATAGAGTCTCCATCACCAGATATTTTTAACAGTAAACATCTGTTGGGCAAGGCAGAGGAGAGGTCAATGCAGCCCCAGGACGAGATGCCGTTTTGGTGATTTTGGGTGCACGGATCCCCACACAGGTTCCAGAGGAGATGGGGACCCAGAGACACCCCATGGGTGCAGGCTGCTGCGCCACATTTTTGACCTTGCTTTGCTGAACCGCTTTTGTTGGCCCATTCGAGATAACCCGCATCCCAACGGGGTGTGCTGGCTGCCAGCTGAGAACTGGCCAGCTCCTGACACCTCTCCCAGCCTTGCTCCTGAAACTGTGATGCTCCCCACACCGTTCCCACCTCTTCCCACTGCTGTCACGGCCCCGTCACCCTTCTCACGGGCACGCACATCTGTGCCACCGGCTGTACCAGTTTTGGTGCCAGCCGGCTGTGTCGCTCCTGCCACCTCTGCAAAAGCCTGCATGGGAAATCATCATCTTTTCATGGCAAGACAGAAGGACAGATGGCTGCCAAGCCCAAGAGCCAGCAGTGCTTGTAATATGTATTTGAAGTAGAGTATTATATGATGTGAAAATCGCTTTATTACCATAAAGTGCCAAACATCCCCAATGTGATGGCCGAGTCCAACGTGTGCTAGGGCCAGTCCATGCATCTCCTTCCAGCTACGCAAGCCATGTGCTGGAGGATGGTGTCCTCTTGCCTCTCCCAGCTCAGTGCCACTGCAGCTCAGCAAGCCGGGACAAGAGGACTCCCTTCTGCAAGTGAAATGCTGGTGCCCCTCAGGGGGTGACGTGGGACCCTGCTCCCATCCTGCTGCATCCCCACAAGGTACCCCAGCAACGCTGCTGCTGAAGGCACAGCGCTGAATCGGTGTACGGTGTTTGGGCTGTTTTTCAGCCCAGGTGGCTGAAGTGACACCAGGTCAGGTCACGTATCCAGTGCCAAAGGAGGATGTGTGATAACACCTACCAATTTGCAAAGCAAGCCGTCCCCTCACCTTTCCTGTATCCTTGCAGCAAGATACTGGACATTTCTCCATGGCGTCTTGTCCAGAGCACAGCCACCTCCTCCTTGTTCAGGGTCTCTGGAGGTGTCTATAACACAAATATTAAAGAAGAACAACCGACCATCTCTGGTGTCAAAGGAACCCATTTGGAGGCCAGCAAGCTGCAGGCTCTTCAGGACATCACTAGCTTGCTTCACCTCCCCATCCCGCAAACGCTTAAGCTACGACAGACCAGATGTGCAGGGTTAGGACCCCACTCTCCCCTCCGCAGCCACGATGAGAAGTTAGAGGAGCCCAAGTCAGCCAGGGTAGCGTGGGCCCATGCTGCGTGCAGCGCCCCAGCGTCACCTCGAACGCCCGCTGCCCGTGGTGCACCCTGTCAGGAGCGCCTGCGCCCGGCCGGCTCGGGAGCACTCACCGAGCTCCGAGGGATGCTCTGCTGCTCCCACCTGCCGCCTTGGCCACTCGCCACCCCACAGATAACGCGTGCTACAAATCTTTAAGATGAAACGTTGCGTCTTCCCTGCAATAAAGTTCACAAAATGTTGATGCGTTCTCTCCGCAGCAAGCATTAAAAAAAAAAAAAAAAAAAAAAAAATGTAAAGCCTCATGTGTTTATGGGTGTGCTTAGTGAACTGTGACTCGCTGAGGCTGGATCTTTGAGGAGGTTTTCAAAGGATCGCTGAGTTGCAGAGTGCTTGGCTCTCATCGAGGCATTAGTAGGTAATTTCCTTCCATGGCTTTGGAAAGTCACCCTCATCAGTCGGTAGCTGCCTTTCGCAATGTATGTGTAGATGTTTTTCAGCGGTTTCTCTGGGAGGAGAGTGTTTTGTTTAGTTTTTGAATACTGTCACGACTGCACACCCCGCTGACACCCACAGGGCTTACCAGGGCCACGTACTAACGGAGATTTCCAGGTGTTGGTGTCACTCGCAGGGTTTGAGCTGTAGTTGTAAAGACTGCAAATAAGCGGGCTGATGGCCAAAAGGCTTAGCAGATTTTTGATGAGGTATCTGAGACAGTTGGAGAGCGATCTGTACCACACCCTGGCTACAGACACTGATATCACACAGATCTCAGCCTGCGATAAATGGGTAGGTTAATAAAGCACGCTCTGATTAAAATAGGGGCAACCAAAATTAGACCCTTTACTGCTGCAGCAGTGAGGTGAAAACAAGGACGAATGGTTTCTTCTAGTGGTAGAAAATTCTGGGTTTAGAGCTGAGCTGAAGAGGAAAGAATATAATGAGAAGAGCTCATTTCATTTGGGTCAACCAAAAACATTTTGCTTGACCAGTAACAAAATGTTCTGGTTTGCTTGGAGACTATTTAATCTTTTTTAAAAAGTTCAAACTAAAACCACAACTCTTTTCCTTTTAAATTTAGGTCCATTTGAAAATGAGAGGAAAAAAAAAAAAGACTTCAAACTAAATGTTCTTCAATAAAGCAAACTGCTCCAGCCTGAAAATGCTGAAGTGAAACATTTCAATATTTAAGGAAGGAAAAAAAGACTTCTATTGTTTTCTCTTGTCATTGACTGACTTCAGCCCAGATTTGTGAGTTATTTTGGTTGCCTTCATTTTCACAGGGGACTTTATTTTTATTTTTATTTTTTTTTAACTAATGTAATGCTCTCTTTCAGTCCAGTTTGAGTGAAGGTTCGTAAGAACATGGCTGAGCTGACAATTTGCACAGATATCAAGAGAACACTTTATTATTTTTTTTCCTTTGCATTTTAGTTATTCTTTGAAATTGTACCTGAATTTATGAGAAGCTGTGGGGTCCTCAGGACCAATCACCCCTGAAACATGCACTGAGCAAAACTGTCAGAGTCTGTGTGCTCTGCCGTGTAACCTGCACACCGCAAAAATTCAGATGCCATCTTCAGTCCTGCAAAATATTAAGACAGGCATTTAAGATTTACCCGAGTGATTAAGCATGAGCAGCTTGTAATTGTTTCCAGATTCCTCTCCTAGCAGGAGAAAAGGCTCTGCGATCCCTGTCCGCATGCTCAGTGTAGCAATGCACTCACAAACACAGAAACTGAAGATGTACTGAAGAGGACAAAAAGATATCCTGAGTTTAGAGAACAAGCCAGCATTACCTTTTAATCCAGTATGGACCGTCCATGTCAGAAAACCAGGATTATTTAGCCAGCATATACCAGGGTATGTCTGCATCCTCCCTGTAGCAACACCTGTGCACCAGCAACTAGAAAACCCTCTTAAGTACACATGGTCGGATTCAGTCTGCAATTTTTCATCTGGCTTGGGAGTGTTAAATGAAGATCAACTGTTGAAATCTGCCTCGCTTGGGGGAATCTGAAAACCTTTGTCCTCCAGGTTTTATATAAAGCCCCAAAGCTTGCAGACTTTCTGCATAAGCCACAAAACAATCCAGCAAGCATCTGGAGAGGCTTGCCTCATATCCCAAACCATTCCCTTCATGCAAATCTACCAATATTTTTTTTCCACAGTCTGCTTGGTCATGAAAAGAGATCTTCCCAAACTTCCTCAACGCTTCAAAAACCTTAGCATTCCCAGCCCAAGTCTGAAAGCAAATTCAAGGGTTCGCCATTGCCTTTGAACACAGCAGGGATCTACTCCAACAGGTTAGATCTCAGGGGCCACATTGCTCCCAGGATTTAAACTAGACCACATGTGAAACGGTAACTACCTCTTAATTTTTTATTTTATTTTATTTTTATATAGGATAATTTAGGGGCTATGGTTTTTTTTTTTATTATTATTACTACTATTTTAATGGCAAATTTGGTGTGCTGCCTTCCCTCCTTAATGAAGGGGACCAGGGACTGGCGCTCAATTTCTCCTACTTTCTAGAAATAGTGTCTACAAATCCTTTTTAAAAATAACCACAATTTCTCTTTCTCCTTCTCTCTCCCTTGAGAGAGGGGGCTTTCATCAGCTCAGACCATTTTTCTTCTGCTACCTCTTTATCTTAACCTCTTCTCCAAGGTTACATTTATTTTCCGAGGTCCATGGCCAGGACAAGGATACAGAGCGTGCAGCTGACTTTGTCTTTTGAGGGTCACTCACCAGTGCAAGAGGCACAAGCCTGGGGTGGGGGTGTCTCTGAAAACGGCCCCTGCCCTCACGCAGCCCAGTATGCTGCCCAGTTCACCCAGTCAGGCCCCTCTGCAGTGGCTGTCACTGCTGCCCGGCAGGGCACGTATTTGTAGCCAGAGCTGACTCCTGCACTTGGATTGTGCACACCCATTTTCTCTCCCCTCTGCAGCCCTGGCTATCCACTGCACATCTGGTTGTTTCTCTGAACCAATCTGCAATCATTGCTTCATCTCAGTTCAACTCCGAGCTGGAAACGTAGCTGTTCTCCCTCCCCTGGGACCTTGTCTGCCTCCTCCTCTCTTAGCCGAATTTACCGTGCAATGGCTCATGCCACCCCTTCTTGTGCAAAACCCTCCGAGAAGGGTCTTTTCCAGTATGGAAACCCCGGTGCACTCCTAGAGGAGGTGATCTCAGATAACGACCCTCTGTGGAAACCGTGCAAGGTCTGGTCTTCATCCAGATGGGATTTTTTTTTTTTTTTTTTTTAATTTGAGCAAAAACACCTCAGTCTTTACAATGTGAGAGAGGAATAAAAAAATACATTGCTGCCATTATAGTGAAGGGGAAAAAAGGGGTTCAGGCTCTCTTTGAAGAGCCCTAGTGCTGAAACAATTGGGTTTCTCTTGTTTAAATTGGATGAGACTGGATCTTCTAGCAGAAGCAGCCTTTGCTTGCTTCAGCGAGCTGGGGTGAAGGGTGGCATTTGCCATCTCCTGCCTGAGCCCATCTCTCCGCAGTTGGGGCGGTGGGCACCAAATCTGGCCCAGACCACGTGGGGTTCAGTGGTGGAGCCGGAGAGGTGGGACACGGCTCTGCAGTTTGAGATGGGAGGAGAAACGTCTGCAGCGAGGAGCAGAGCTGAGCCTGCACGGGAGCGTGTAAAGGCAGCAGCTCCTGCCTGCAGCACCTTTTAACCACATTTGCACACCTGGGTGCGACGGGGAGCTCTTCCACTGGAGCACGTGCGTGCGCAGCCTCGAGATGGTGTTTTACTCAGCAGAAGTAGTTTTGTTGCTTGTATGGGCAGAGGAAGGTTTTTCACTTACGCACTCCCCCAGCCGCTCATGGCCAAAGCCAACACGATTCTGGGTTGTAGTGCCGAGTCCTGGTCACGCTGTTGTTCGGCTCCCGGTCCACCCCGGTGTGCACTGGTGATCCCCGGCAGCTCGCAGCGGCCCCAGCTGCACCGTGACCCAGGGCTCACAGCTGAACGACAGCAGCAGGAATCGCCTTAAGGGAAGACGTCGAGAAAGATGATGAGAAACTGCATCCCACACCAGCCCCAAACCCAACTCCACACACCTACCAAGCACTGGGTTTGTGGCAAAGCCAAGCCTAAAAGGGCCACTCGGCCCCCACAGCATTTTTATGCTTTTCTAGGTCATCACAAACCAGCCCTGAGAGTGCTAGGAGAAAACAGATTTACAACAAATCCCCCCAAAGCGTTGCCTGCATTCCCCTCCGTGGGCTGGGCTGCGGGTCGCTGCCTTCCAAATAGCATCGCCCACGGGAAAACACCACCGGCTCAGCCCCGTCCTTGGAAAGCCATCGGGGAAAACGTGGGGCAGGGGCTCGAGGTTAGCACAGCCCCGACGAGGCGCCGGGGATACCTGAACCGCTAATTTGCCAGACGCCCCCGGAGCCTGGCTTGGCAGCCCCCCGCCGGCTGTCGCGGCGTGGAAGCCATTAACATTTAAAAATACTTGCAGGAACGGGAGGGTGGGGGGGGGGGGGGAAATAAATGGTATTTGCGGAGGCCCATTCCTCAGCGCACTTTCATGTGTGCCAAAGTTTGTTGGCATGGCTCTGAGTTTGATAGGGAACATCTGGGCTGCTGTTGCTGCCTGTATATTGGCTGAGGGCAGCGAACAAAAGGGGTTTGTGCAGGAATGCGTGGGGAGGGGTGCGGGGTGTGCACGCGTCGAGGGACGGCTGCGAGAGGCGAAATGCAGAAATACTCTCCGCAGAAGAAAGCCTAATGCACATCCCATGTTCCTGCTTTTTAAGAGGGGATAAAAGCCTTCCCCCCTCCACTTCTCTTCCCTCCCCCCAAAAGCACGCCAGGGTACCAAAGGCGAGCGGGGCTCAGACACAGATCCGTGCCCCACTAACTCTGCACATTCGATTATTGCTGCAGTCTGGAAAAACAATTGGGGTGGAGGGAGCAGGTTAGCCAGAGAGAGGGGAAATCCGAACGCAACTGCGTGGTGACGACCGGCGAGCTCTGTGCAAGCAGCCCGGCCCCCCGATGCCGCTGCGGGGGGAAGCGCCCGGTGACAAACCCCCTCTGAATGCACTGAGACCGAGGACCCGGACCCACCAAGAACAGCACTGGTTGAAGTTTCCTCCACTTCTGTTGGGAATTTGGGGTACGAAGTTGAAGATGAGCACTGTGCCACTGCCAGCGGCACAAAAACTCACAGCCCGCTTCCTACAGACACAGCACCCCGTTGTATCTGACACCAGCGGACGGTGTGGAGGGATGAATGAGGAATGGATTCACACTTGAGGAAGGCTGATCTGTTGGGAACTGTCTGAAAATCACAGGCCAGGTGCAACCCTTGGCTCTAAAGATCACAGCATACATGTTCCATCCCATATGCTCCATCCCCAAGGAGTCGCTGCTGCCTGCGGATGGACACCAGAAACCTTTGATTGAACCTAATGTAACATTTCTGACATTCTTCCTTTTGCAGCTCCTTTCCACCATCCCATGCCTGCAGTATTTTTTACCCAATGCGTCTGCAGCGTTCACAACTCTTTTCAAAATTTCACTCCATGGACTAAACCTCTTCTTCAATAAGAGCAGCACTGGTGTCATTTCCTACCTGCTGATCCCGCTTTGCTCATCACATCTTTGCTCAACTCAATGCCATGGGCAACAGTTTTGAGCATTTCCAAGTTTTGTTGTTTTGTTTTGTTTTGTTTTTTGGTTTTTGGTTTTTTTTTTTTTTAATCAGTATTTTTCTCTCTTCTTCTTTCTGGTATGATCATTTGGTCTGAAGCTTACCTAGCAGCTGACATTCCCCCCTTGGCTCCAGTCCTTAGCAAGGACACACATTGGGTCTGCTACCCAGAGCAAGTTTTCCACTGCCTCTGTCTTTGGGGCTTCTTGGAGTTGCTGGAACCACCCCAGAGAAGGTATTTTGGGTAGCACTCGGGGCACGCATTCCTTTTGCTACCCCTTACCTTGACAGGGCAGCCCTCTGGGAAAGGCCCAGGGAGCAAAACCTAAAGACAAAGGGTCCAGGTCAGTGAAGACTCTTGGGTCTGACAGCCAAGGCAGATTTTTCCAGCCCTAATCTCCTTTTCAGGTCTCAGCAGCATGCCTACAAGTTTTGAGCTGACTTATTCAACACCATCCACGCAACCCTCCTGGCACTACCTCGGGCAGCAGGCTTGTGTCCTGAGCTGGGCATGTTTGGAGATAAGCTTCCTTCAGTGATATTTGGATTCCGATTACATCAGTGTCAAGACACAGCTTTTCACCAGAGCCAAGCGAGCTCCCACCATGCCAAAGAAAGCAGCTGGGCTGGCCAGGGGCTGTGCACAGCACGTTGGGGAGAGCACTGGTCCCTCTGCAACCCCCCCATCAGGGGCACGGTGGAGGGGAAAGCCAGCTGACATGGGGCAGCACAGGCTGTAGACCCACCTCTGACTGCAGACAGTCCTACCCGGCCGCCTTTCCTGCAGCGGGTTAGGAGAACTGCAGAAAACTCAGCCAGTCTTTAGAAACTCCCTGCAGCCGTCACGGAGGAACGTGAAGCTCTGTATAAACATCAGGCTAAGTCTAGCAGTCATTGCCCCGCTTCACAGAGGAGGAAAAAAGTGTAACCGCTGTGGTTAGTGCTACATGTCCCCTTAATCCACTTCTGAAAACAAGGGGGTTGAGAGGCCGATTTACTTCTGCTTTATTGCTCATTAGCATTGCCAGAGTAGATTCGCCATCTCTCAAGGATACACCCCTCCTCCTAGGCAGGTCTGTGCTTCTATTCACCCTCCACATCCTTCTCCAGGACACCTTTTCTTTTAGCGCCGTCTGAAAAACAGCCCAGTTGCACCAAGTGACACGATGCTGCAAAGGCAACTCCCGTCTGACCCTGCTCCTGCATTTCTTCCTTGACTGCTGCCACCAACTGAGAAGAACCAGCCCCAACAAGGAATAAAAGTGTTTTTCAAGAAACACAGAAACAACTTAAGAGCCTAAATCCCACTTTCCAGTGTGATTAAAGGCCCCCATCGAGGAGGTAGACTGCTAATCATACTAGGTGCTTTTGAAGGTTGCAGTAGATGTTCATCTGTATCTTCAACATCTTCAGGGAACCCGCATGTCTTTGAACTCCCTCCTGAGGGACCCCGATGGCAGTGGTGGGAAGGAATGTGAATCTTTTGTCCTGGAACAATTAAAATCAAGAGTCCAGTCAAGTCTCAGAGTGGTTCGAGTTGCTCCTGCTGATAGGGTTCCATCTCATTTGCCCCGTCACTGCATCTTATCCACCATCTAACATGGGCCAGCTGGGGAGCTCCCAGTGCGATGGGCTCAGGAAGTGGGGGCTGGTGGGAAAATGCCCATTTAACTTTTCGCAGGCAAGGGTGGTTCAAACAGTTGTTTCAACTTGAAAAAACTGACGCGCGTTTCCAAATTGTCCAAATGTTTGGCTTTTACATTTCCTTCAGTGACACATCCCAGGGTTTTAGTTGAAAAGGTCTTTTCTCTTCAGAATTAGGCTGCTTGTAGAAAAAAACCTATCAAAACAGGAAGCTTGAAATTATCAAAGAAAAATATTTTCGTTGACCTAAAAAGATCTTACCCTTTGGTTTTTTAGTTCACAAAATTTTTCAGGACTGACTCTTCATCCCCATGAGAGATGAGAAATACTGTCAGTACCTCAAAATTGCTGCCAGAAGGAAAGAGTTATTAATTATCAACCTCTATTTTTAACCTGCAAACAAGAGTCACTTCTCATGGGTGACAACCAGATTCTCTTGAGGCTCTGCCATTGGCTTCATCAAGGCTTTTAAGTCAGAGATTGGATTTTTTTTTGGATGGAACATGCCCCAGGCACTCTGCAAAGCCTACCCTATCAATTTCCAAAGCAAGCATCAGGTATCACATGCTTTTGCTATCCAACTATCTAGAAAAATTATGTTGTTACCTTTCTTCTCACCTATATTCCCACTGCAAAAAATGTTCATTTTTTCTCTCCCTCTATTTCATAACTCAAAAAGGACTAGATGGATTTTGGTCAGAGTTTCCAAAAAAAAATTCCACACTGGGTAAGGGCCAAGCATGCAAAAATTTCAACCTGAAAAGTGAATGTTTTCAAAAGTTATTAGCTTATGAAAAGAAGGGCTATAATGGAAACTGTTTTACTGCCATAATTATAACACCACGAACAGAGCCTGCTGCAATATATAACATTATCAAGCGCCTGTCAGCATTTAATAGAAGTCTTAATTAACTGCTGGGGAGGAACATGGCAAAAATTTATTTTCAAGAAAACTTTTGGGAGCTGCGTAATTCTGGGCTTTTTTTTTTTTTTTTAAAGTTTGTCTCGATTGGAGCCTTAGTAGAGTTCATAGGACAGACTAAATACAAGACACAAGTGTGTATCTTGTTGGCATTACTTAATGATAGGATTTTCTTTTCTGTTAAACTACATAATCCAGAAACAACAATAATGTTTGTGTTGGGTTGGAGCCAGACACTTCAGAGCTGGATTTTAACCTTCCCTGGGTTTGGGGTTATTTGAAGCCAGGGGCTTGATGCAGCTTCTTGGGGAAGGGGGTTTCATGTAAATCTGTGGGGCTGACCTAACTCTGCCATTTGCTTTCCTCCCCCACCTTCTACCACCCCTAAGACGCTCACACTTGGGACGTGGGGGGGATCCCCATCTTGTGGTGGTGTTTTACTGCACGGCAGTGGCTGAGCTCCTGGGCTGGAGACCCAGGCACAGGGGAGAGGTGTGGGGAGAGCCAAGCACAACAGTTATAGGATCGTTGTAATTACTTTCATGCCATTGGCTTTGCAGGAGATAATCATCTTTGAAACCAGCCTGACCACTGCGTGTTTGCAGCCCCATCTCCGCACACATCTCCAAGAGCCTCTTCCATCTCCCCAGCACATTTTTGGGGTCTGGCCTCTCCACCCCATGGTGATGCCCTGCCAGAGGGACCCTGTCCGGAGCCACCAGACCGGACTGAAGAGGTGGGAATGGGGTGGGGAGAAAGGGCAAGCCCAAACCTGGGATGGGCAAGTAACCCATGTGGCTCAGCTGCAGTTAGCAGCAGGTTTTGAGGTGCCTGGAGCTCAGAGCAAGACTTGTGTGAAGCACGTTAAGAGGAAGCTCTGCAAACCCACTGCCTAACTAGAAGAGGAGCCATTAGGGCAGATGGTGACAAGCGATCCGCCAAAGTTAAACCCGGCTCTCGCTGAGCCAGTATGTTAAACCCAGCTCTCCCCACTCCAACGCCTGATCGGCCAGACCACATTTTACAAACCTTCTGGCAAGCGAAGGGCTTCTTGGCAAAGCTGGGGAGGTAACGTTGGGCAGGTCACGCCATGACAAACACTCCTTCGGTCCCACCTGGCAGCCTAAACTTATTTTCATTACCCTTTGTGCCCCCTCCCACCCTCTGCCTGGCCCCGGCAGCGAAGCAGCCCAGCACTGCGAGCTGGCAGGCCACATCCATTTCCCCCGATAGCACCGATAGCCCAACAGCTGCTCTCTGTCCCTTTGGAGATTAGTTTGTTTTCCTAACACAATTACTGCCACGTGGCCCTGCTTTCTGCCGGGATCAAGCCTGGCTAGAGATAAAGCCGCGATAAGATCGCACACTGCTCCAGACCCCTTCGCAGCCTCGCCAGCCGTGGTTTGTTCTCATCGGCACGCGAACACCCTCTCTGCAAGTTACCTGCTCCCATCAGTGCCGGGCCAGGGAGCCCGGGGAACTTTATGGCACTAAACCCCAAGGATTTGGCTTCCAGGTTTCTGTGCAACACCGAGGAGTTGTTTTGTGGCACACCCTCGCAGCGCGGAGGTGTTGGGTGGGCGCAGGCACAGCAGCGAGCCCCCACGATGCGATACAAAGCCGCTTATCGGACGCGGCACCCTGCTAAGCTCAGCACTTTGGGCGAGCACAGCTGCCTCCAAGCTGACCCGCCTGCCCCCAGGTCAACACCCTCTGCCCGGTCTGGGGCTAAGCCAAAGCTCAGCTCTGCTTGCACATCACATTATCTGGTGAGTGAAGCATCTTTATCCCGGTGCGACTGCTCCGCTGAGCACGAGCATCCCGGCAGGGCTCACACCACTACCTGCAGCTCCCACGAGGGGCTGGGCAGCTCTAGAAAATGTCAGTGGAGCCATCTCAGGGGCAGGTCTGGTACAACCACTCTCCATCACACCCAGCAAAGGTCCTCTCTGTCTCTTCCAGGGAATCCTCGTGCCGGGAATCGCTCCTGAAAGCCTCTGCTGGGGCGGACGTGGTGCACGCCGGGAGAGGACACTCAGGGAGCCTTGCTGCCTTCAGAGAGACAAGCATCCTTGCCAGATGTCTCCCATAAAGCTGCAAGTACTTTATTTTAATAATAAGCCTTAATGTATTCATTAAAGGCTCCCAGTGACCTGGGATGAATTTCCCCGCTATTGTAAAGGGCTGTGGGAATCTGGAAACCGCTGCATTACAGTTAATAACTTTAATTTTACAAGGCCCAAAATAGACAACTGAAAAAATACACAAACTCACTGTTTCCAATTAAGAAGGGATTTCTTCTAATTCCTCTGCCACTGGCGCTCTTGTTTAGCAAATAACATCAACAGATACTCAACCATAGACAAGGGGAAAGCAAACCAAGAGATTCACAGTCTCCATCTCTGTTACAAGAGCTGAGGAAGAAGCTGGGACCCTTCCTCCTCACTGGGTTATCTGTGCATGGAAGAGCCACAGCCTGGGCAGCAACAGCAAACCCATACTGGGGGAGACACAGATAAAATTTTAACACCTGCTTCTTAAGCCTGATGGACACTAGAGTCCAAGGGAGATTATTTCCAACCCATCTTCTCCCTTTTCCTTCCTGGGGGTCCTAGCTAAGGTGCTAAGGGGGTTTTGGTGGGAGTCCTGGGGTGCTGGGAAACCACCCCAGTGGTTGTGTGAGCATCCTGCTAGCATTTGGGGCTACCAGATCTCCGATTTTAGGGTCAGGAATATTCCCCCCAGATCAGATTGAGAGAGATTGCCGCGGATTTATTTTGCCTGCCTCCTTCTCCTCTGTCAAATGATCATTTCCCAGGGGGAAAAAAAAAAAAGCTGGGAACCAAAACCAAAACCATTCTTCCTGCCTTTTTTTTTTTTAAAAAAAAGAAACAAAAAATTTTCTGGGAATCTAACATTTTTCAGCCCAAATCTTTTTATTTCCAGTTTGATTATTTTTCATTTTCCAGTTAAAACTGGAGCTCTTCAAAAAAAAGGACTGACATTTTACATGGAAACATTAATTTTGCCACAAGTCATTAAACCTTCCAGGGTGAAAAAAGAAGTTTCAAAGTCAAGGTTTTGTCCAGTGTATCAGTTTGGCTGTGTTGACAGCCAACATCTGCCTCCTCACACATCTCCAGAGCCATCTCTGCCAGGCTCACACCACATTGCTGGCATTCTCCCTCTACTTGTGGCAGGGACA